AAAAGTGGCGAGAAAGTAAAGAGCAAGAGAGTAAAAAAAGTGATAGATGAAACCATTTTTCTCTGAGGATAAAACAGATAATCCAACCGAGCAAAGGAGAATATGCTTTGAATTTGAGCGGTAAGAAGAAGCTATTGTCCCAATTTATACTATTTTATAAGGGATCTTTAAAAGAAATAATTTATCCTTATTTGCGCAATTCAAAATATAGCGAAAATGTCAAGCTGCTTCTTGTTCTAGTTTGGAAGATACCAATTTTTAAAAGAGAAAGCACAGTTGAGTTGGCATTTTCATTACTGAACTGATATGAACTAATCTCGTAAAAGTGCAAATTTTAATGAAAAACTACTGTTACTGTGAAACTTTCAGAGTCAAATGCCCGCTAAACATGCTCAAAAATTCAATGTGTAGTTTGGAAGATGCTAATTTTTAAGAGAGAGCGTAGTTTAGTAAACACATCCATTTATGGACTGATTTTTACCAAGCTGGCAAAAATCAAGATTTTCAACCAATTTTATAGATCTCGCCGCGTCTGTAGCGTCTAGAATTCTACAAACATATTGAAAATTTCCACCTGCTACTTGCTTTGGTTTGGAAGCTGCGAATTTTTCAAGAGAGCTTTTTTAACGAAACAGATCCATTAGGTACTGGACTAATATTAACTAAGCTGACCAAAGTGAAAAATTCGAAAGATTTTATACAAACTCTCCAAGTCTTTAGAGCCACGTATCTGCAAAATATGGGAAAGCTAAACTTTCTGCTACTTGTCTTTGGAAGATGCGAAGTTTTAAAGAAGAGAGCAGGGTTGAGTAGACGTCCATTACTGGACTGATGTGTACGCAGTTGGCAAAAATCAGCATTTCCGAAAATGTTTATTAAACTATCAGCGTACTTAGAGCCAACTATTTGGCAAATATACGAAAAATTGCAATTTTCTACTCGTTTTAGTTTAGAAGATGTGAACTTTTTCATGAAACTATCGTCATCTTTAGAAGCAAGCCTGTTCTCAATATGGTGAAAATTTACAAATTCTAGTTGCTTTAGTTTGCAAGATGCAAGTTTTTAAAGGTGGGAGTGCAACTTATTTGACATATCCATTACTTAACTGATTTTTGAGTTTTTTATCTAAGTTAGTAGGTAAGACTTTTGAGCAATTATAATGAAACTTTCAGAAGCTTTAGAGGTTGGTGTCTGCTCAACACTGTAAAATAATCAATTTGCTGCTGCCTTTTTCTTGGAAGATGCAAATTTTTAAATGGGATCTCGCAGTTGAGTAGACAAATCCATATTTACTCATATACATATGCATACTAAGCTTGCAAAAATCAAGATTCTGAACCAATTTTATAAAACTCTCATCGTCTTTAGAGACTAGTATTCTACAAATATGTTGATAATTTCAACCTGCTGTTTGCTTTGGTTTGGAAGATGCGATTTTTTAAAGGAAATGGCATTTTTATTGGAACACATCCATTACCAGCCTAATATTAACTAAGCTGGCCGAGTGGGAATTTAGCGTGATTTTAATCGAGCTCACCAAGTCTTTAGAACCAAGTATCTGCTAAATATGAAAAAAATACAAAATTTTCTGCTAGTTTTCCTTTGGAAGATGCGATTTTTTTATAGGACAGCGCGGAGTTGAGTAGACATCCATTACTGAAAGGATGTTTGCTAAGTTGGCAAAAGTCAGGATTCCCGACAATTTTTATCAAACTCTCCACGTATTTAGAGCCATGTGGTTTGCAAATATGTGAAAACGTGCAATTTGCTGCTCTTTTTAGCTTGGAAGATGCGAATTTTTTAAGTAGAAAATGCAGTTAAATCGAAACATGCATTACTAGACTGCTATTAAAAATTAACTAAGCTGGTTAAAGTGAGACCTTCGGATAATTTTAATGAAACCTTCACAATCTTTGAAGTCAAATCTCTGCTGATCACGACTAAAAAATGAAAAACTCATTTAGTGCTGCCTTTCGTTTGGAAGATGCGAATTTTTAAAGTAGATAGCGCAGTTGGGTAAACACTGTATTTATATTATTAATACACTGGCAAAAAGAAGGGTTTGGAAGAAAACTCTCGTCGTCTCTAGATCCAAGCCTGTTCTCAACATGGTGAAAATTTCCAAATCCTAGTGGCTTCAGTTTCGAACATACTCATTTTTAAAGGAGAAAGTGTAGTTAATTTGAAATATCCATTACTGAACTGAAATTAACTACACTGACGAAAGTGAAACTTTTGAGCGATTATTATGAAACTTTCAGAAGCTTTAGAGCTTAGTTTATGGATGAATTTTTTCGGAACCTTTTTCTAAAAACGGTAAAACAATCAATTTGCTGTTGCCTTTCTTTGGTTTAAAAGATGCAATTTTTTAAAGGTGATCTCGCAGTTGAGTAGACAAAACCGCATTTACTCATATATACCAAGCTGGCAAAAATCAAGATTCTGAACCAATTTTATAAAACTTTCAGCGTCTCTAGAGTCTGGTATTCCCCAAATTTTTTGAAAATTTGAACCTTCTACTTGCGCTGGTTTGGAGGATCCGAATTTTTAAAGGCGAGAGCATTTTAATGGAACACATCTATTACTGGCTTAATATTCACTAAGCTGACCAAACTGGAAATTTCGGGCGATTTTAATCAAACTCATCAAGTCTTTAAAGCCAAGAATATGCTAATAAAACTAAATTTTTTACTGGTGTTCCTTTGGAAGATGCGAAGGACAGCGCAGAGTCGAGTAGACGTCCATTACTGAACTGATGTTTACTAAGTTGACAAAATTCAGAATTGACGACAATTTTTATCAAACTCTCCACGTATTGAGAGCCAAGTGTTCTGCAAAGATGTGAAAAATTCAATTTTCTGCCCTTTTTGTTTAGAAGATGCGAATTTTTAATTCAGAAAGTGCCGTTAAGTTGACACATTCATTACTAGACTGCTATTAACTAAGTTGGTAAAAGTGAGACTTTTGCATAATTTTAATGAAATTTTCAGAATGTTTCGAGTCACGTCTCTGTTAAACATGGTAAAGAATTAATTTAGTGCTGTCTTTTGTTTGAAAGATGCGAATTTTTAAAAAGATATTTAAACAATAGTTTTACTGGACTGATATTTATTAAACTGGCAAAAAGCAGGATTTTGAACTACTTTTGTTAAACTCTCATCCGCTTTAGAGCGAAGTCTATTCCTAATTTGGTGAAAACTTCCTATTCCTACTTACTTTAGTTCGGAAGATGCAAATGTTTAAAAGAGAAAGTGCAGTGAATTTGCCATATCCACTGCTGAACTGATATTAACTAAGTTGACAAAAGTGAGACTTTTGAGCTATTATAATAAAACTTTCAGAAGCTTTAGAGCTTAGTTTATGAATGAATTTTTTCAGAACCTTTTTCTGCTAAACATGGTAAAACAATAAATTTTCTACTGCCTTCCGTTTGGAAGATGCAAATTTGTAAAGATCGTGCAGTTGAGTAGACCCATGCATATTTACTGATATTTACTAAGCTGAAAAAAATCGGGATTTCGGACGATTTTTCGGGTCGTGTTGTCCAAATATATTGAAAATTTGAAATTGTTGCTTCAAAAAGTTTTAGATTCCAATGCTAATTAACACCTAATATTAATGTGCTTAATGTTTTTGATTTAAAACCGCTTAACTTTTAAAAAATAATTAGTAAAACATGTTTCTAGATATTTCAGGTAATCACTGAAATGATAGTAGAATGCATATATTTAAAAAAGTACCAGAAAAAATATCAAACCCCTACGAGGTTCAATATCTTAAGGATCAATAAGGATTTATCTAAAGCGATCTGAGTGTTACATAGACAATAGGGTGTTTTCAATTTTTTTTAATG